TGCAGATTGCAGTTAGTAGCAGGGGGGTTGTGGATGGGTGAAATGAATCTGCTGGGCAAACTCTGCAGGATGAAGAGACGGCAGCCTCTCTGATCAGGAAATCATTAAAGAAAAAACACATATATTTATTTACACATGATTCATGATCGTCAGTATCTTAGAGAACCTCCAGAATTTCACAGATCCTGTTTTCAGAGAAGCTCCCGTCTTAAGTGTAATTTATACTTCTGTGTCGAATCGCCTGACGTGCACCTCTTCAAAAATGTAACTACATGTCGAGTATAAATAAACCTTGTACGCACGTAGACCTGACGCAGGAGTATAAATCAGCTTTACTAAGAGGAGCCCGGCTCCCCCTGTAGTTTGCACCCTGCCTACGACCATCGAATTCCAGCAGCAGGAAATCTCCTTACTCTTTTACTTACAGAATTTGTTTTCTGGTGCAGACACTTTGCAGTGGTGGTCAATTATTAAAAAACAACAACACAACTTAATTTCGGGTAAAAATGTGCATTACTGAGATTGTAATGGGTGTAATATTACCAAAATGTTATTAGTAATGCGTTATATTACTACTTTGTAAAGCATTACTACCAACACTGGTTATGAGTTTATTGAACTGTTGTTTTTGCATATTGGGTACAGTTTTTCATCTGATGTCTGAGTTACTCAAAAGGTTCAGATCATCGTGGCAGTAATTAGCTTCCATTATAAACAGTTCACGTCTACGTCTGCACATCGGCTCAGAAAACAGAAGAGTAATTATTTCTCTGCCAGAGGTCACACCACCATTCATAGGAGGATCTCTGTGGATTTGTCATGAGGACATTTGTTCATTAATAAGGTACCACTTTCTGTTTAAGAGTGAGACCACACTGCTGTTTATTTTTAATCACGTCATAACTTTAAAGAAACATTAAGTTTTATTATTATCATTAGTAGTAGTATTAATAATAATAGTGGTTGTAATAGTCTCACATTTGTGTGTAAATGTATTTGTTTGCCGTTAAAGTTGAGCTTTAACGGTTGGCCGCAGGGGAACAGCACCTCGTTAGCCTAATTGGCAGTGTTAGCCTAGTTAGCCTAATTAGCCGAGTGCAGTGGGAGCGTTGCGCCTCGGGCCATGAGCATGGATCTGAGAGTCCTTAATTAGTCCGTGCCGGTCGAGCCTCGCCGCCGTTTGATGTGGGAGCGTTTAGGTTTTACAGGAGGAGGCGTGGAGCCGCTCTGCCGCTCGCCGGCAACAACAAGCTTTATGAACGCAGACATGAGGAGAAAAAAGAGGCCAAAGACAGACGAGAGGAGTGAAATTTCACAACCTGTGAGCAGCTCAAGTGTTGACTGTGGCGAGCGGCGTGCTGAAGCTTGTTGTTTGCAGCTGTCAGACTCTTTACTGCCAGTTTAAAGCTGCAACTTGTACACTTCAAAGCAACGAGAAGAAGATCTGATAGACAGTTTCTTCACTTCATGTGCGTCTTGTCTCTGGGTGATACTGTCTCAACAGGTACTTTAGTTTCTGCACACTGACATTCGTAGAGGACATTTGGATGTTTCCATTTTTGGCAAATGGGATCCGTCTCTCTGTTTCTTTTTTAATTGTCATTTATCATAAACACTGATTTATCTGCTATTAGCTGCTATCGGCCAATAATATCGCTACGCCGATTTATGGGTCGGGCTGTAGTTAAATGTTGTGGTTGCAGTACCACAGTTGACCACTGGGAGCATCCTGCAGCAGGACTACCTTTGATTGGCTCTTTCAGCTCTAACACTTGAGATTAGAGTTGTTCAGTTGATTGACAGGCAGCGCTTCGAGTACCAGGAATAAAGCTTCAGCTTCTCTCTCTTTCCTCACAGATTAGTTTCTCTGCGTTTTCCGTCGCGGGACACCTGATGAGCGTCTGTCATCGGTTTCCTCTTTCTGCAGTTGCAGCCCTGCTCTTTTGTCCTGTTGAGTAACACTGCTGTGAACCTGCATCAGCTGCTGTTTGGCAGCGCCGCACCTTCGCTCCGTCCTGTCGCATGTGAAGCCACGTGTTGGACCAACTGCATCCACAGGGTCCAGGTCCAGTGGTCGGGTTTTTTCCTTCAGCCGCCCGCCCCCTCCCCTTCTTCTTCATCTGTCTCCAACACGCTCCAACTCGGAGAAAACATGTCAGTGGTTTTGGCTGTGTGGCTGTTCCCAGCATGCACGTGTGAAGCGGGCGGATGTGTTGTGTTGCGGGCGGGGTTTGTGTGTGTGTGATGTTGTGGTGTTTCATTCTTCCCATCATGCCCTAGTCCAGAAACGGCGGGGCCATGGAGGATGCTCTGGTTTCACAAGCTTTTCCGTGAGCACGTGCAACAAACCTCAGTGACCCACACACACTGCTGCTTTGTGTGTGCGTGCGTTAATTGACATGTACAGTAATATGCTGGGTTTTTTGTGTAAAACTGTTAACATCTGCATTCCTTTCATTCCTGTCAGTCCAAACCTTAATTCTCCTCCTTATCGCTCACAGCTGCTGTTTGTCTTCAGCTGTCCAGTTTGAAGAAAAACTTTTACAATCAGATAAAAATTAAAGAATGTGGTTGTAATTATACACTTAGACATTCAATACATTAAAGGGCTGCAAAAACTCTATTATGATGTACGCGGTCTGGATAAGTGGACAAGAGACACACGACGACCACAAAGAGACGCATAACGACCACAAAGAGACACACAACGACCACAAAGAGACACACAACGACCACAAAGAGACTTATAACGACCACAAAGAGACACACAACGACCACAAAGAGACACACAACGACCACAAAGAGACTTATAACGACCACAAAGAGACACACAACGACCACAAAGAGACACACAACGACCACAAAGAGACTTATAACGACCACAAAGAGACACACAACGACCACAAAGAGACGCACAATGACCACAAAGAGACTTATAACGACCACAAAGAGACGCACAATGACCTCAAAGACACACACAACGACCACAAAAAGACACACAACGACCACAAAGAGACGCACAACGACCACAAAGAGACACACAACGACCACAAAGAGACGCACAACGACCACAAAGAGACGCACAATGACCACAAAGAGACACACAATGACCACAAAGAGACACACAACTACCACAAAGAGACGCACAACGACCACAAAGAGACGCACAACGACCACAAAGAGACTTATAACGACCACAAAGAGACGCACAATGACCTCAAAGAGACACACAACGACCACAAAGAGACTTATAACGACCACAAAGAGACGCACAACGACCACAAAGAGACACACAACGACCACAAAGAGACGCACAACGACCACAAAGAGACGCATAACGACCACAAAGAGACGCACAACGACCACAAAGAGACGCACAACGACCACAAAGAGACGCACAATGACCACAAAGAGACTTATAACGACCACAAAGAGACGCACAATGACCTCAAAGACACACACAACGACCACAAAGAGACACACAACGACCACAAAGAGACGCACAACGACCACAAAGAGACACACAACGACCACAAAGAGATGCACAACGACCACAAAGAGACGCATAACGACCACAAAGAGACGCACAACGACCACAAAGAGACACACAACGACCACAAAGAGACGCACAACGACCACAAAGAGACGCATAACGACCACAAAGAGACGCATAACTACGACAAAGAGACTTATAACGACCACAAAGAGACCCACAAAGAGACGCACAACGACCACAAAGAGACGCACAATGACCACAAAGAGACTTATAACGACCACAAAGAGATGCACAACGACCACAAAGAGATGCACAACGACCACAAAGACCACAAAGAGACGCACAACGACCACAAAGAGACGCACAACGACCACAAAGAGACGCACAACGACCACAAAGAGACGCACAACGACCACAAAGAGACGCATAATGACCACAAAGAGACACACAACGACCACAAAGAGACACACAACGACCACAAAGAGACACACAACGACCACAAAGAGACACACAACGACCACAAAGAGACTTATAACGACCACAAAGAGACACACAACGACCACAAAGAGACACACAACGACCACAAAGAGACTTATAACGACCACAAAGAGACACACAACGACCACAAAGAGACTTATAACGACCACAAAGAGACGCACAACGACCACAAAGAGACACACAACGACCACAAAGAGACGCATAACGACCACAAAGAGACGCACAACGACCACAAAGAGACGCACAACGACCACAAAGAGACGCACAACGACCACAAAGAGACGCACAACGACCACAAAGAGACTTATAACGACCACAAAGAGACTTATAACGACCACAACGACACACACAACGACCACAAAGAGACACACAACGACCACAAAGAGACGCACAACGACCACAAAGAGACGCACAACGACCACAAAGAGACACACAACGACCACAAAGAGACGCACAACGACCACAAAGAGACTTATAACGACCACAACGACACACACAACGACCACAAAGACACACAGAACAACAATGTTGTGTGTGAATGTAGTTGTGCTGTTGTCCTAAATACTACAGCGTCTAGGGCAGTCTAATTTGTGTCAGTTAGCAGGAGCCGTGTTCACAGGGACATAATGTGCTCACTGTTCCCCCAGAGATGTGTAGTATCCTGGTGTAAACCCTGAGAACAGGCTGTTGGAGGAACGACAGAGATCATCTCGTTATTTACAGAAGAATCTAACTGTGTTTTGATGATGTTCATGTTTGTGTTTACTGGTACAGTTTCTCTCGTGTTTCCCTCCACAGCACCGCTGGCAAACATCTGTATGACTCAATTATAAAGTGTCAAACAGCCAAACCCGACTGGAAAACAACACATTAAGAAAAGGGAGGAGAGCAGAGAGAGGAGGAGGAGGAGGAGGAGGAGGAGGAGGTGTACATGATGAAGAAAACAGAGAGAAAGCAGAGAAAAAACTCGTGTTTGAAGCCCAGAGAGAAAAAAGGTGGTAAGAAAGTGCAGCAGAGGGAGGAGGGAGTGTACAGTATGTGAGGTAGGTGTAGGTTGATGATGTCGTCCAGGCCACGCCCACCTGCAGAGGCTATAGATGCCGGTGTTTTGGGGGTCCACCTCTTCACATCGAGGACGTCCGACAGCTGAACAAGTCCTAAGACTGCAGGAAGAGAGACGCTTAGTGAAGTTGTCCAGCTCCTGGTCACTCCTCATCCTCCTAAACCTTCATCATCATCCTCTTCACCCTCGTCTTCTGGAAGCCGAAGCTTTGAGAGGTCATGCCGGGCATCGCTCTCCTCCTCCGGGTCCTCGTCCTGCTGCTGGGAGGGACGATTCTCCTCAACGGCATCCCTGCACCGAGGAGCAGAGGCAAGTGCACGGAAATAAACTCTGATTTACTCGCTGAAAGTAAAGAAATAATGTGGAATAAAAAAACAACAGGTGACATGAATGAGTCATCTAACAGGGTAATATGGGGAACACACATCGGTTCAAAACCGAGAAAGAAACACATTTAATAGATGCAACTGTAACTGGTAAAAAGGTCAATTAAAACAGTCGAGAAGTTTGAATAAATGTGGAATAAACGGAATAAGCTTGGTGACAATTTGGGGAAAGTAAAGTAAGAAAAACATGGTAGCAGGATTTAAATAAAGGTTGTGTTTAGAAATAAACAGGATGGAAGGAAATAAATGGGGGAAAAACACAACGTGGTTTTAATGAAAGAATGAGCAGCATGCAAGACAAATGAGATGTCATGCACTTCACTAAATGCTTCTTTAGTTTGTCCTGTTTGACTTATAGTGTCTGAGCGAGTGTGTGTAATGAGCCCAGATGTTTCTGCGTGGAGCAGCAGGTTGTTCTAATGTGAGGGGAACTTAAACGTGTCTGCAGAGGTGCTGAAACACTTTTACGTCTTGATATCTGCAGGTGATTTTGTCTAAAACCTAAACGCTGACATGATTTTTGGCGAGCCTAATCTTCCGTGCAGCGTGTAATGAACTGCTCTCTGTGCAGGTGTTTGATTTGGTGCAGTTTCTCTGCTGAGTCGGCTGTAATGTTTGTCGTGCTGCAGCTGCAGAACCTTTTTTTTTTCATGCATTTGAAACATGTGTGGTGAAACTTGCACGTTGAAGGAGATTTGGTTTTGGGTCTGATGTGTGATGTTGGTGTGTTGAGTTGTGCACAGCAGGTGTGCTGCTCGCCGGAGGTGGGGGGGGGGCTAACTCGTGATTTTTCCGCCTCATTGAGGTTTTAAAGTTACGTAAGATGATAAAATCCCCTCCTTCAGAGGCAGAAAGTGTCGGAGTGACATGGAGGTCTGATGTGACGGCTCGGAGAGGATTACCTCACCGGGTGAGAGACAGCCAAGCACAACAGAGAGAGAGAGAGAGAGAGAGAGAGTCTACCAGTTCAGACGAGCTCCTGTATGTTTTGTTTTTGCCTTATGCAGATTTTTTTTTGTGATTTCTATTGTTTTGGGGGGTTTTCTTTTATATGGAAGTTTATGAGCGACAAAACTGCTGAGTGAGCAAAAATTTTATTAATGTTGTAAAAGAATGTTACAAGTTTGTGCAAAAATTACAGTTTAGATGGTTATTTTGGCTCCTTTTTTTCTTCAACTGTTTTTAAAATACATTTTAAAATACATTAACAACAACAGGTTTCAGCAGGACACACCCACATCCAGATGTTAGACGCTTTACTTTTATAACTGTTGAGGCACTTAATTAAAAACATGACTTTACTGAGAGGGCAGGGTTTGATGCACACTATGCGGCAGCTGACAGATCTGCTTAAAGGGTTTGGCTACGAAAGATCAAAACTGCCGAAAGTGGAAGCACAAAATCCAGGTTTCATCACTTTTTAATTCGTTAATAATGTGTCTCAGCAAACGCTCAAATCTGGACTCTTAAAGCTGCGTTTCATTATGGCCACTTTAAGGAAACGTAGCGAAGTAGAAATATTCTGTTACAAATTAAAGACCTTCATTCCCAATAATACAAAAATACCAAATAATTAAAAGTATCAGAAAACTTAACTGAAAGTGTCAAAAGTGAAAAATGCTCATCTTTCAGACTGGACCCAGGCAGTGATTTATTATGTTATTGATTTGTAACTAAAGTCTAAGCAGCGTTTTAATGTTGGTCAAGACGAAGCTCATGTTTGTTACTTTAATCAATAATAAACATCATATTGTATTTAAAGTCCCAGCTATAGTACACTCACACAGGTGTTTCCTCTCCTCTCTAACCAGCCACAGTCACTGGAAACACCTGCGTGAGCGTGAAAAGTTTGTAGTAACTGTAGTTGTTTAGATAAATGTAGTGCAATAAAAAATTACAATATTTGTATTTGTATATATGTACTTTTCGTGTAATAGAGAGGCTAAGTCACTCGTTTCCGCTTGGGACAAAATACGGACGGTAGTCAACGGCGAAAGACAACTCATTTTTTGATCGTGGTTGAACTGAGCCCTGAATTACACACATGATATTTGTCAATTTAAAAGATAATTTTGTCCATCAAGAAAGTTGCAGTTTTGTCCTAAAACAGTAAAGTTACATGTCGTTTTGAGTGAAAACCGTTAAATGAACTACATCTCTCGTCTCGCACAACATGTTAGTGCGGTAATGCTAGCTAACGTTCATTTCTTGGTTGCTGCTAGCTAGATAACTTAACTGTGTTCCACACAGAAATATATCTCACCTGATTAATCCAACGACTCGCGGCTCTTTTATCACGTCATCTACACATGGAAGTTCTTTGACGTTAGCTTCAGATCACATACGTGACTTTTGTATTTGTGGTCTTTGTAATTATGTATTTTCACAGTCTTATACCTCAACAGTTTTACATCAAACTGCGACTTTCTTATGTTCAAATGTTCATTTTAATGTTCATTTTAAATTGACCATCATTATGTGTGTAATTCAGAGCACAATTCAAACAGGATCTAAATATTAGTTGTCTCACGCCGTTGACTACCGTACATATTTTTTCCGAAGTAAGGTCCCATGGTGGTCCACCGGAAGGGGAGGGGCTTAGGCTCTCTATAGTACAATTAATTTGGTGTTTTGTCATTAATAAACTTCCATATAGGTCCAGTTTAATGATGTAAATTCAGTCATTGTCTCTGATATTCTGAGCATTAAATATGAAACTCTGTCGAAACAGAAATTACAAATCAGACATTTGATGCACAGCGATGGACATAATGTGGAACAGCTCCAAAGACTGATTCCTAATTGAAATGTTTTGGAGGACCTGTAGGGGGCGCTAAACGCCCCCTGGCCTGCTTGGTTAGTTGCCAGACTTGGCAGAGAGACGGTTTGAGGCTTAAAGTTTTACAGTTAACAGTTGATTTCCCTCCAGACGATTAAAAACTCAGTGACAGCAGTAAAACCAGCAGCAGCAGCTCGTTAGTGCCGACATGAAAGAGACTTTCCATCGCAGCGTTTCACAGTTTCAGCTGATGAGACAGAAAACTGCTAAAGTTTCAGTCGCACTCAAACAGCTTATTTCAGTTATCAAACTCACAAAATATTGTCAACAAATACTGTAATTATTACTTTTTGTGCTGCATTTGATTCCTTGTTTTAGTTCTTTGATACCAGATAGCTTGTTAGAACCATTTTGAAGTGTTATTTCTAGTAAATTTGATATTTGTTGTACTTTGTGGTATTCTGGTATTTTGTCATAGCTATTGATACTTTACGGTATTTTTTGTCTCTTTGTGGTACTCTTGATTCTTAATGGTATGTATTTTTTGTATTACTTGTAGTACTTAGTATTCTTTTTAACTGTTTGTGGTAGTTTGGTAGTTTTTCTGTATGGCTTTTTTGTAGTACTTTGATGTACATTTTTCAGTTCTTTGTGGTAGCTTGTGCTTCTGTTTGATGACTTACTTTCGTTGTTTCTAGTACTTTTTGTTGCCTTTGATTATTTGTATCTGTTAGTACTCTTGTATGGTACATAAAAGATGTGTACAAGAGTAGTACAGTGGTTCTTTGCGTACTCTGTCACACTTATGTTAGTTTGTAGTCTTTGTGGTATTTCTTGTTTTGTTGTAGTACTTTGGTGTGTGCTGTGCAGCAGCAGGACTGCAGGACCTTCTCGTGTTTGTCTGCAGAGGTCTGAGGACAGTGTGAGTGATTAGCTTTCATGTTTGGACTCCTGTACGTCGTCCGGCTGAAACAACACGGTGAGATGTTATCCAGGCCGTTAGGACGTTAAACACAAGTTTCTTTGACGAGAGGCCTGATGTCTTTCACGTCGAGTTTTATCCCCTCCACTCAATCAGCTGCTGCTGGAAAGCCTCCGACAGGCTGCGCGGCGCTGCCAAGAATGAGCTACATGATTACACATGTCCTGCATGTCGACGGTCTGCAGGCTTTTCCCACACAGATCTGCAGGAACAAACATCCCAAAGAAAACCCGGACAGGGTATCCAGCACAATGTGGCCCCCTGAAAACACACGTCTAACCACGTGCTGATCCTCGCAGCTCTGTGGACGGCAGGAGGCCTAAACTCAGGCTGACTGTTTGGCTGAGCAGCGGCCCGAGGCGTCGCAGAGAGTTAATCAGAAAAATGTTCTCTGATGGAGATCATACCTCCTGCTCAGCTCTTCAAAGCGACACATCACTTCGTTTAAGAGCTTTAAGGTGTTTTTCTTGTATGTAACGGGGCCTTGGAAGTCCTGAAAGAGGTCATCTCCTCGGCTGAATTTGAGTCCACAGCGCTGCGGTGAAGATTTAACAGAGAAAGAACTGCAGATGAACTAAAACAGCTTCATCCTGTTTGATCGAGTCGATGCTCTTTAATGATGGGAAAGTGTCGGATAAACAACCCGCTCTGCATTGATGTGGAAAGAACTTAAAGCTCGGCTGAGTTTTCACAGGCTGGGAACGACGAACCCTGACCAGTAAAATGATTTTTGTGTGCCGTCTTAAATTTACTATTTGTTCCCATGATGCTGTGTGGGGTGTAAACAGGAAGTATAATATTGCTGTGGATTCTTTGAGTTAGGATGTGAGCTACGTTTGTTTTTAGCCTATATTGGTTTATATCTGATTTAAATTAGCGCCAGTAAAAGTATCTGAATTAGCTGTTAGCAGTGTACCCATGGATGTACAGACAACTGTCACTGGATTACTGTGATACTGAAGAAAACTTAAAAACACGATGATTCTCAGGGAGGCTCTGCAGTTCTGACTCAGAGCAGAAGTATGATTTTTGATGCAAATCAGGCTCGAACTAACCTAAAAAGTAAAACCCTGGATGTTTGTTCACTTCTGTCAGTCGTGGTTTTCAGTTTCTGAACACCATCAGAGCCTCAGAGTCCTGGAAAAATAAAAAGATTTATAGTTCCTGTGAAAACCATGTGGGACTGAAACATTCTGTACTTGTTAAATTTTTAAAAGACGCCTGTGACGCCGGGTTTGAACCCCGGAGGAGCAGAGGTCAGGTCGATCTGCTGTCTCGACGCCAAACGTGTTCATTAAATGTTGGTCCACAGGCTCCCAGAGGAAATCAGAAGAACACAAAGAGATACGGCGAGCGTGCTCTCTAAATGTGATATCCATCTTAGAAATTATGAGCATGAAATTAAATCAAGCCGTGATTCTCTCTACAGAAACAACAGAGTTCATCACTGAGGGAAAACAGAGAAACTCTGTGAGGCTGGACACAGCGGTGCTTTGAGCTAAATGCTAACATTAACATGCTAACTTGCCCTCAATGACGATGCTAACATCTTGTTGTTGAGCCAACACAGTCCCACTCCCGACTTGTCACATATGGACATGTGGTCAGGGCCCTTTGGCGTTGCTTTGTAACACCCTGGGTACCGCTTTAGGGTCATTTTTAGACGTTTAAGGCTCTGCAGTCAAGTTAGCAACGCTTAGCAACCACAAATATGCAACATCCAGCTAGACTTTCAAAAATAATGTTTCGAAACATCGCCATTTTGAAACGGCACGTTATTTAAGTTGTGAAACGTTGCAGTTTGGTTCGGTTTAGGCGCAAAAAGTACTTGGTTAAGGTTCAGAAGAGATGGTTTGGGTTAAAATAACTACTTACGTCAGTTAATGCGTAACTTAAATAAAAATATTTAATGTTGACTTTTTGTTTCACACAGGACACGAACCCTCCTGGTTCAAAGTCCGGGTTCTGGCTCTCCATCCACCCCAACTAACTCCTTACTCAGCCTTTTCTGTTAAATATCATATATCTGCTGTTACCGTCACAAACTGACGCTACAGGCCCCCCACTGTGTTGAACTATGACGCTGTAGGGATCCCCAGTGCTGATGGGTCTTGATTATGCGTCGATATGTGACGAGTCAGGGAGTGAGAACGGGTTGGTTTAGCAGCTAAAGTGTTCACCATCTTAGCTTAGCATCTTAGCATCTATCAGTACATCCCGACATCAAAGTAGGCCCCGTCTACACAAACACGGGTATTTTCATAACCGTGACTTTTTCTATGCGGTTCGGCCGTTCGTACACACAGAAGCGCAGTATCAGGTCACTGAAACCGAACATTTTTGAAAACCCCTGTCAGGGAGAGGATTTTAAGAAACGCCGGTTGCAGTGTAGTCGTGTAGACGGTAAAACCGGGGGTTTTGCCTTAACGTTATACGCTGTGTTTGATGTCAGATTGTGCGCCACTGCCTGCTTTCTTTACAGTTTTATTAGGCTCTGAATGGCCAACATGGCTTTACAGTTAGGGTCATATCGCCGCCAGGTGGTTTGGCGTGCTCTTGACAGCGCTTGATAGCGTGTTTGCGTTTTCATGTGGACGGAGATTTTATTTTAAACAAAGGTGGAAAAACTCCAGTTATAAAAATACCCGTGTCTGTGTGGACAAGGCCTGAGAACCACTGCATCAGACTGACGTTACAATAAAAACAACCAGTTTAATTGATTTTCAGAGAGATGAGGAGGTGAAATTATCAAGAAAAAATGAACTAGCAGCAGCAGCTCCAGCAGCACTAGGAGAGTATAAGTATCGTTCTTTTTCTGCCTTCCCGTTGGTCTTTGAAGCTGCCAACACAAACCTCTGAAGTTCTCCAACAGGCAGAGGAATGTGACAACAAGTCTCGGATCCAGTCAGAACCAGAACAGAAAGCTTTCTCTGTCTGTTTTCCCTCCAACTGATCGGTCTCGTTTGTTGAAGTGTTTCTCCTCTAATTATCTACAATTTCTTCTAATGCGACTCAATTTGAGAAACAATTTGGCAGCGGAACATTGGATTTATTCAATGCTCACTGGCACTACGGCAGGCATAACAGAAGGAAAGAGCGCTGTTGAAATGACAACAACGTGTGGAGGATTCACAGAAGTACTTCCAGATTGTTAGAAAAGGAAACACATTAACTATACTGGTCAAATTTGACATTAACACCAACGTCACTAAATATCTTTACAACATGTCAAATTTGGATTTTCACTATAAAGTTTTTGGAAACTTGAGCAAAACCTTTTAAAACTTGAAATCCAGTGATTTTATTTTAAAAATGATGAAATTAAGAGAGTTAGTGGGTCAAACCTTTAACTTCATATCTCATCATCAATCAATTTTTATCTTGACACTCAAGTATCTCATTTAGCTTTGTACATTTGATTAAATAATAAGCCTCCATAATTTCCTTTACTTCTCTCCTCACGACTCGTCTAATCCCCCATTTCTTCTTCTTCTTCTTCTTCTTCTTCAGTGCGCCGTCAGAACATGAAGGTTCGGATCAACGCCACTGGCGACACCATCGTAATGAAGTTTGTGCGTCCGAATCCGGACGTGAAGCTGGAGGGTTATATTCTGGGTTACGGCAGCAGCATGTTCTCCAAACAGTTCATCCAGCTGCCCGAGAACGGACAACCATACGAGACTGAGATGGGTAAGATGGGCTACGGAAAATCATTTTTACTTGGGTCCCCTCTGGGCCTCCGTACTTCTTAGCAAAGGGGTTTATTGTTTTGGTGAAATGTAAGAAAAGTGGTAAAACTGTGTGAAGCCTATTTTTTTCCTTTCTGATGAAGGTAGGGAGACATTAGCTTTGCTCCAGTCTATTCCTGTATGTTGGCAAGATTAGAAGTCGAAAGACGCAGAACTTTGGCTGGAGTTTGGTGCAAAGGTTCCCACCTCACTATAATGATTTTGGCTCACACTCCATCACTGGCACCATCCTAAACAGGTTTTAGCGTTCGGATTGGACCGGCCTGACTATTTTACTGTTTTAATAGACGATAAACTGATTATTAAACATTAACAGCAGTTTCTGCAGGAACTATTTAAACACGTTGCAGTAAATGAGGATTTCTCTCTTGTTGTAGGACTGAAGGGTTATTTTCTCTCTAAACCTCCGTGTCTAAACATTCAGACTCGTGGGAAAGAGTGAGATTCCCCAGAAAAACTTTGGGGAAAAGCAGAACGTGAGAAGCTTTGAGAAGCAGAGGACTCAGCAGCAGGTGGCTCTGATCCTTGTTCTGAAGCTCAGCCAAGAATCTTTATCCCATTGGGACCAAAACCAGTAAAAGTTACAGCGGTGTGACATGTTTAAGGCAGCGTATCATCGGCACAGTGAGGGGGTTAACAGAGAACCTGCTGAAAGTCATCCTTCAACACCATCTTCTCTAGAGGCTGATTGTGTTTGCACTCCTGCAGATTTCTGGGATAAACGATTGCAGTGCAAGTTGCCATTTTGACCTGAATGATTATGTGTAACTCATATTGACTGACAGAGAGCCAGATTTTCTTTTCGATGAGAGTGCACAGACTTTGTGTTGTTTAAAAGGCTGTTTTTTCTTTCTAATGAAAGTGGTAAGACACCAACTTTGCTCCAGTCTCTTCCTGTATTTCAGAAAGATTAGAAGTCAAAACGCCCCGAAATCTGGCTGGAATTCAGTGGACAGGTCACCACACCGACATGATGATGACTTTTGTCCTTTTGACTTTTTGTTTTAAGTCTCATCATTCTTTTCTGTTAAAGACAGAAAAAGACATTTACATTGTAAATGTCTGAATTTGGCTGAAGTTTGGTGGACAGATCACCAACAACACAAACTACTGAATCTGTTATCTTTACAAATTAAAAACAGGTTTTCCATCAATTAGCTCTTTGGCACCACATGACACGTTGTGTTCAAGTACAGCTGGGAAAATCTTCTTCCATGCTGCGTTTCCTTTGTACTCTGAAGATAAATGGGTATACAGTTTACTTTCAGGAGGAAGTTGAGCTCCCCTGGGAGACTTTTAATTTAATCTCCGTCTCCATTTTTGTCGCTCATCTCTCATCGCTGCTGTTTCTGCCCTGAGGTCACCTGTCAATCAAACGGTGTGGGGGCGGGGCTGTGGTGTCAGGGCTAAACAGTTCCAGTGGTGTTTACCTTCCTGCTTAAAAGCTCTCAGTAGAGAAGCATCAATCAGCAGCTCAGCCGCAGTGTTGACTCTTTAAATCCGAGGCTGCCGGTGGTTTGGGTTTTTTTTAGCCACATGAGACACAAAGAGAGCTACTTGATAATTTCCCCTGCAGGAAAACTGGTTTTGGTTCATGTGTACTCTGCAACTCTCTTACAATATTATGTTTTTATTAGGCTATTGCAAAAGGCTGAAACACTATGAAAAAACCTAGATTTAAAAATTTTTTAAATAATAGTCTCATTATTACATGTTGTTTCTGATCTGTCCACCAAACAAAAGGAGAGAAATTAAGAAAGATTTAAAGAAAGAAATACAGAAATATAATAAACCCTGTAAATGTTCTAAATGTTGTGGATCTGTCCACCAAACGTCAGCTAAAATTTGGGCGTTTAAAACATAAATTGATGCTGCAAAGTTTCAGATCAACGAGATTTATTCAGAAAGTCAAAGTGAAATGGAACTCCAACAAAGGCAAAGATTAACTGTGTTTAACCTCCTGACCTTCTTGACAAATGCTGCTGATAAATGTTCCAACAAGACAAAAAAAAGAGAAAATAAAGCAGCGAGGGAGAAAGAGGAAGACAAACACAGACTCTGCTGGGTCTTACAGGAGATTACAGGTGATTGATGAGGTCAGAAGGCGAAGTGGGGGGGGCATGTTTCCACCAGTCGTGGGCAAAGAAACCAAGTGAGTGTATGAGGCTTTGAAGAGCAGGAGGTGAATGAAACCTCTCAGGGTTTGTTTCAGCGAAAACGTTCATCCAGAGGTTTGTCTTAAAATCCTGTCATTTAGAATGAAGTCTGGTGTGGGATGAGATGACCTTTCAAAAGCTTCTGAGGCATTTAATAAAGCAACACTTTTATTTGTGCCGCTGGTAAATGCTTTCAGGTATAAAGATGGGGAGTCCTTTACCCGGCGGACTTTACCCATAATGCTGCTGACAGCTTTTTTCATTCATTAAAACATCGTGTTTCTGTCGGTTCTCTAAGAATCATGTCTCGTTTCTGTCTGTCCAACAGAAACAGTCTTATCATTTTATTTCTACATTTCTGCCACGCTGATCTGTTGTGTAACAAGACTTTAAGTGACTGTTTATTTTTCTGTAAGTCGCCTCTGAAACATCAGATTTTTAGAAGAAGTGTTTCAACATGCCGTCCTCGTGTTTCACAAAGTCCCTCTGTAATTGCTCACATCTGTGCGTCTGCTCGGCGTTCGCCATGACATCATCATCATCATTATAGCCGCACGTTTCCATAACAAAGTGCAGCATTCCTCGCATGTTTCTGATGCTCACAGGACGAACAGGAGAAACTGTGTACATGATGTACCGGCTGCAGTAGTACGTGTAGTATTACAGGTTGGAGCTCCGCACGTTTTCATCTTCAGTCTTTTGACTCATTTATTTCTTATTTGCTGGACTTTTTTTGTTTGGAGACGTGTTGGTCTGGACTCTGTCCTGGATCTGGTCAGTTGAAACGAATGTACAGTATAAAGGACGTGGTGTCTCTGCTCGGCCCCCTCAGGGCCACAGAAATCCAAACCATCTGTGGGGCCCGTCTTTCCTCTGAGCTCATTTAACCTCTTCAACCCTGAGTTTCTTTACATGGTTTTACACACATTTCTGCAGAGCCTCTACTGAGACACTGGATGGTTTCCTTCACAGCGCGCTGCTTTCAGTGGGTCCGAACAAAGTTTGGAAAAACAGCAGTCGGTATGAGGAGTTAAATTTTCTGGGGGACATTCACCTCTACGGTGTTTGTCATTTCAGCTGTTGTAATTCAGAGAACCACTCAAATGAATTTGAGGACAGTTTCTTCGTTGCTGAAGGACGTGGAGTAAAACCTCATGTTCATGTTTTTATTTAGATAAACAAAGAGATTGTCTGATACTTTTCTTTTCAGACCATGAAACTGAACCTGATCTGATCTCCTAAACATTTACCTGAATCCACTTTCTTTTCCAGACGCAGAGCCCAAGTACCTGGTGGCCGTCCAGCCAATCCCGGCCAACGACGTGAAGAAACACTGCACAGGTAAGCCGACCACTTCCTGTTTGTTGGGGCATTCTGCCGTGCGCGCCGACAGGAGGTCTCACTCCGTCCTCACCTGTGTGCACAGGGAAGGTGAACCTGGAGAAGCCGCTGCACCTGGTGATCGGCTCCGTCAGCCCCACGGCCGTGCTGCTGTCCTGGGGAAACTACCTGAAGACGCCCTACGAAGGGAACATCATGAACGAGTGTCTGGAGGACGGGTGAGAGCCGATCATGATTATTTGAAGAGGCCTGGTACTGACCTGAGAATAAACCTAACTGTCCAGTAATCATGGGGCGGGAACTATTTTGTAACGATCCAGTTAGTGTGAAGCAGACCGAGGCCTGCAGGCGATAAGAAACAAGTCTTCCTCACGTGTTCCAGATTCATCAGAAAATCATCTTTTAGACGACGGGTTGGTTTGGTTTGCTAAACATTAAAGTGTTTTATGTGCGTATGTATGAGGAAGCACTGAGCAGCCAAGCCTTCGACCAATCAGAGCGACCTGAAACTGCTGCGTCTGTCTTTGAATGGTCCGTGTGTGTTGAGTGACACCGAGCAGCTCTCTGTCTCCTGCCTCCAATTAGCCATTTTTTTCCGTCGGAAAGCTGGGCCCGGGCGTCCTCTGCTACTCTGGGCGTCTCGTTAAAATGTCAGGTCCTTCTGTGGAGCGTTTGGCTGCTGCTTCTGAGTATTTGGAGCCCTGCTCTAAAAAACACGACCCGAGACATGGGCTCTGCTTCCCGCCAGAAGTAACAACACCTAATGGGAGGCGTTGTTTCCACGCTGAGGTCACGGTGCTAAAGACGGCCAAAGAGAAACCACACAGGCTGAACACTCGGTGTCTGCTTGTTAATGTCATTCGTCCTCCGGCACCTCGGGTCTTGCTAGCCTGACGAGCGAGCGCTTGGCGTTGTGGAGGCGCCGCACTCCAGTCGTCAAAGTCAGAGAGCCGTACGAATGCGTTTTCTGTCGCCTTCAGTGAAACTTTGATGAATTCATTTGGTTCTGACTTCCAGGTGCAGCTGAACACATTGAGTCTTCGGTTTTGGGACATTTAGCTGCTTCATCAGAGGCCTGACAAACTCTATCGCCAGACACGAACATCTGCAAAACCCCACAACGTATTTAGACATGCGTGATTCAAATGAGTTGGTCACTTGGCCCACTGCTTTGGTCCAGACTCAAATATCCCAACAACTATTGAACAGATTGTGATGACATTTGGTTCGGACATTCATTTATGCATTAATGAGTAGTGAGAGTTTGGAATTCTGTTGCCTCCTTGGGATTTGAGGTTTGAGACCTGGCTTTCCTTCCCCTGTCTGCCTCCAGGTTCTACACCATCCGCTACAGAGAGAGGAACAGGAAGTGGATCTATCAGACCTGCCCAACCAGCGACACGGTCATCGACAACCTGAAACCCAACACGCCATATGAGTTTGGCGTCCGCTCCAACAAGGACGACCGCAGCGGCACGTGGAGCAAACTGGTCGTCCACAACACCAACATGGGCAGTAAGGAGTCTTCAGTCTTCAGTAGTATTACCAGTAAATCAGAAACAAAATGAAGATGAGTCTTTGATCCTCGCTGACATATTTCAGAAGGTATAAAAATGTTTCGGTTTTGGTTAGCGGCCCACGTCTGTAGCACTGATTTGAGTATTTGCTAGTGTTGTAGTCAAGACCCCCTAAACCAAGACCAGGTCAAGACCAAGACCAGAGTTCATCAAGACTGGGACAAGACCAAGACTATTAGGGGCTGAGACCAAGTCGAGACCAAGACCAGTTCCCCACATTACATGAAACACAATAAAATGAAGAAAGATCACAGGTGCTTCTCAAACTGATCTGAAAGATCCACATTCCCGTTAAAACACCCACATACAAACACTAAGAGCTGAAATCAACATAAGCGTCTTTATTCAACGCTCCTTTTCCATGCTGACCATCGCGGGAGGGGGGGCAGTCGTTAACGGGAACAACACATGTTTAATTAGGGTTATTGGTTGCATCTGAAGCAGTATGTTTTACATCCAATCAAAGTTAGGATGTTAACAAAGAAATGTGACGATGCAAAAGCGATTTATTGATGTTCCCAAAGCTATGGTCTATAGTGGTCTTGAAATGAAATCCTCAATGTCCGAGACCGAGACAAGAGTACAAATTCGGACGAGTCTCGAGTGCTACAACACTAGTTTGGTTGGAAGGTTAACATTTATTGTAGACATGTAGGTTACACAAGTGTTGTTTTGACTGCATCAGGACTGTCAAGTGCTGTTAAAACAGTAATTTTATAAAACCTGTTTGTCTACAGTTCCAACCACATTTAGCTAAAAACACTAGAATTTTCTAGATTTGCGTTCATGGTTATATCACACCATATCATGACTTAATGTTCTAATCGTATCTTTAGTTTTAATCTATTTTACATTTTTATATTTTATGTTGTCTATTTTTATATAATTTGATCTTGTAAAGGTCAGAGAAATGCGGAGTCATTATTTTTACTGTTTCAAAGTCATACTTACATACATAAAAAATATATTTGATTCCTTGGTGTGTTTTGGTATCTTGATGGTATTCACTTGTTTGTCTAATGTTTTGGCTAAAACCCACCCTTTTAAAGAAAGAACAGAACGGTTACTGACTTTCCTGTTTCCCTGCATTGATTTCCTCCCCTTTTCTGGATTTCACAGATAAGAACGCACAGACGCCGTACAAGGTGCACAGTCCTCTCGTGAAGCCGCTGGTACGTAACCTGCTGCGTTCACTTGTTTTATACGTGAAGATGAGCGCTGATGATTTGTTAATACCAACCAGGAACCAATAACTCTAAACAAAAATCATTTACAACTAAATATTGATTTGTCGTAATTTATTGTGAAATATGAGATCACATGTCAACAAAAGGAGCTGTGTCCCGCCTGCAGAGGCGTTCTGGGTTTCTTACGTCTAGCTCTGTAATCTTAGCGTGGCTTTAAAGTAATTTTAATACAATCTTATAATCAATATAATAATTTTATGTTCATGTAATGACATTTATTCTGTGATCAAGAGAAACCAAATCATATTTACATCCCTGGTCTCTGTTAGGGGGAAATGAAATCGGACTTTTCTCTCTAATTGTTCCGATTTGTTTGGAGGCTGTAAACTCTTCAGAATAAAAGCTTGAACCAAACAGCTTGCTTCAACATGCAGGACCTGACTGAGCTGTGCCTGGACACATTTCTGTCACTGTGTAGTCTGACCTATGGAAGTCCGTGGCTGCCACTATTATATCATTTACTTTGTATTGATGTGCATGTTGTGTGTGGTGAATTAAAGTTTAATAATTTTATGTTTACTCGATTTTAAAATTAGACATAAATCGAATTCAAATGTAAAAGTAATGAGAAAAATAAATGTCCTTCTATTTTATGTACTTTTGACATATTTATGTCTTTCATGCTGCTACAACACAGAGCAGAATGCAGAATACAGCAGTGCACTCTGGGATTGTAGTTGGCGTATCTTCTTTAATTTGGTTTATTTGAATGTTTTTGAGATCATTTCCCAAATCATGAGCCTGAAGTTAATTTTTTTGTTTTCAGAAACCCCAAACTCTGTTCCCTCCTCGTACCGGTAAGATTTGGGATTTCTTTAAATAACTTAAAGTATTACTGAACTTGTTGAGGCAGTGTTTGTTGCTGTTTGGTCATTATTTCTGCCTGACACAATTCAAGGAATGTACAGGTGCGCAGAGTCGGCACACGCTGGACTGCTCTGTGTAATCCATCTGTTTTCATGATAATAAAGCAGAGAATAAAAGCTCTGGCAGACTTTGCAACATGTTCAGGCTGGTTAGAAACTCAGTCTGCAGGAGGAAGCTTCCAAGTTCACAGTCCATGTTAGCAGCAGATTATATGCTCATTTTATTGGATTACTTCACTGCAGTTAACAAACTGAGAGGAGGCCACAGCGAGTCTTCACACAGTTTATTTAACCCCCGCAGATATTCACATTACAAATAAAGAAAAGCAGCAAATCCTCCCATTCAGAAGCTGTAATGAAAGAATGAGCTCATCATGAATAAATTACTGAAGTGGGAAACCACCTTAGGTCTCAGGTTTTAAATGGCAGCCTAAACCTGGGTGTTTCAGAGCCCCGATGTGAACCAAAACTCAAAACTGCAATGTACTATCTGGTTTTTAAAGGCGTCCTCAGACACAAAACAGAGAGATTAACAGACAATGAAAGAAAAGCTAAATAAATAATAGTGATGTTGATAAAACAGCACAAAACAATATAATCAGTAATAACAAGGAGTCACATTTGTCAAACATTTCAAATTAAATTAAGGGAAAGTCGTGTTCCCCTCAAATCAACTTAATTTATAAATTAAAGATTTTTTGAATGAATCTCTGGGTGCATCTTTATTTATGAATTAAGGGAATTTTTGTTTTGTTGGTCCATCCAAGACCTCCACGGCATCGTCTGCTGACTGCCTTCATGAGGCAGCTGAATCTTCTTTTGTCATTTCAACTAGGAGGAGGTTTAAAGAACCGTTATGACCAGATGCCTGCAGTTCATCAATGATCCTGATTTGTTTTATGACAAGAACACAAATGAAATAAGAATAAAATAATAATTGGAATTATTAAGTGATATTTAATAAGTTCACTTTGTTGATTCAGCAGAACATGGTTTCATTTTAAACTTCCTGTGATGTGTTGATTCGTTCACAGCCATTCACAACAGGACGCTGTCTGGACCCCCTCCTGCGCCCAAAAACCCGGCTTTTCCCGGAGCTCCTCGCACTTCTTTTGGTGATTATCTTTTCTTCCCTCCACATGCACAAACACATCACTTCCTCTCCTGCTTTTTTCCACTCAGGGCTGCAGAGACATTTTGAGAATAGAAGCTTCCCAGTCGGGTTGGACTGACTGTGGTTGATCTGAGATGGTTTCAGACTCAGTCCTGACAAACTGAGAGTGAGTGATTATAACACGTGTCAGTAGATAAAAATTGGACTCGCTAACTTGCATTGATTCTTTTGTCTCTTATCCCTTTTTTATTTGCAAAGTGAACAAAATATTTAGGTAGCTGGATGAAACCTGATGTAGCTAATTAAAGTGGACGGTAACTTTACAACAGGACAAAGTAAGACTTGCCGAGTTGCAGGCTAAAATGTGACATCTTTACTGATGTGGTTTCATGTTCATGCCACTGGTACACAGTCAGGTCACCATTTAAGATTCATGAATGTAGCAATTAATCAAGATAAATGCAGCAAAGATCTGCGGATCTATTAAGAGGCCAGGCAAACTGATTGGTTGATCCCATTCCTGTTGGAAGGATTTGAAATGAAACACCAGTAGTGTACCGGATATTATCCAAAATTCAAAGGGATTTAAGAAAACTGCCGTGCCAATGTCTCCAAATGACACCAGGGCATGTTTGTTTCATTGTGTCTTTAAACAATCATGTTTTTTTCCAGTAGTTATTACACGTCACTGCTGTTTAAGGCAGATAGCTGCAATGATAACAATAAATGTACCAGATACAATCAGTTACTTGACTCACTCGCTGTTTGTTGGGAACAGGCTTCACCATTTGTGGCAAATGTTAAAAATTATTTGGAATCCATTTTCAATGACGGTATCAGTCAAACCCGACCTCTGTAGCTATTTCTTTTAAACTGGGTTTACAAACTAACAGACATTTTGTTCTTCACTTTCACCACTTTTTCTTCCATATTTATTTCCTGTAAACGCAACATATTATTTCCCACAGGGCCACCTGAGAGCCAACAGGAAACTTTACCCCAGCGCGGCTCTGCTGAGCCTGAATGGCCTCATGTGTCACTCGGTAACAAGAAAGATTTCTTTAATCATCCAGCTTTATTCACAGCTTGTCCTTACCTGCTTCAGCTGAGCCCAGTGATGCACCTGGGAGGGGGCGGGGTCTGGGGCGTGCAGCTGTTGAATGGCTGCATGTTAGCATGCCTTGAGCCCAGATAGAAAGTCGATACGAGGCGTGGAGATGATGTCGCTGGAGGTCAGGTGCTGCGAGTAAGTTCACTTTTCCCCGTCCACCCTAAGCGGAGCCATGGCTAGTGTTTTAAACCAGCCTGCTAAAGGTCATATGACAGCAGTAATGCTCCTTGTGTGCATCCAAAGCCGCCAGTTTTCTTCTCCTTTTCTCCTTTCACCCTGAAATGTTCAGTTGGCTTTTCCATCTTTCCTCAAACGTCAGTGTTATCGTCTCCTCAGACGCCACAGATCTATATCCAGTCTGAACAGGAATGTCTATGTAGAGGACGAGCATGATATTTAGCACGGGTAATAATTTATTCAGATTTTTCATGATTTGCTTCAAAACGATTCCTTTGGTTTGTACTGGAAAATAATACCCCATGCAAACATTTTTGGATAGTCTTAACCCCTGACACCAGAGATTTTCACAATACGTTTCCACAATTTTACAATTCCTCAGAAGTATCTTTGGAAAGTGTGGGTTAATGGAGCCGATGATGGGTCCAGCAGAGTTTCAAGGTTAATAAAACATTTTAGGACATTCATAAATGGACTAAATGCCATAAGTATATTTTACTAATAGATTGTTTTTGAAGTATACTAGGCACTGGAGTTAGGTAAAGCCTCATTCACATTTGTAGATCATTTGTCTGTCCGTCTGTCCCTGTCTTCAGTCCTCACTGTGGTTGCTTCATGAAGTCATTGCCATGTTCAATCAGTCTGCATGACAGGACTGCATGTTGGCCAGTTCAGACGCAGACGTTGTTGGATTTTCCCACCAGGGAAGACAACACAAGTCGTTCTGCAAAATCCCCAACCATCTGTCCCCTCTGTCTGTCTTTCACAAGTACAATGTCTTCAGAACCTTTCTTTATGTCTATGAGGTACATGCTTATGGGACCAAAACCTAATCCTTTGGACATCTGTTTACCAATTGGAGAATCTCTTTAGAAAGTTAGGCTAGACATCATTTGAATATATTTAGTGTTAGTGTAAAAACAAAATGGGACCTTATCTTGAGGAATATAAAAAAAAGTCTTACATTGGCAGAATTTAAGTATAAGTAAATGAGGAAGAAAATACATAATATTTGGTACCTCACAGTTTAACTTGGTAAAAGTATCAATGGTTGATACCCAGTCATATTTGAAATAAAATTGAAAGGTCTTCCATCCTTTCAAAGACATGTGTCTGGTGGAGCAAATGAGATGAATCAAATGTCCATAGAATTTAAAATACAGTATATCTCCCGTCAGTCAACCCAAAACAACACTCCAACCTAAGATGATCCGATTCCCATGATCATGGTACCTCTCTCCTCTCTCATCCCAGACAAAGAAAACACTGTCAGAAATGACACCAAGCAACCAGTGGATCATCCTCCTGCCCTCCCCCAATTCCTGCCCACCAAAGCCCCTACCGCCAACGCCTCAACCTCCCTCCTCCTTAAATTACACTCCAGTGGCGACTCACTTCAGGTGCTGACTACTAAGGCGCCCACTAATCCACCTGAGAAGCCTCATAACCCTGCTGGTAATTGCCACCTTCCAACTTCCCTTTATTATTTATTTTTTTGTGAAATAATCGCCACATTTTGGAGAGCTGGAGCTACGTCCTGATGAAAATAAGTCTGTGGTTAGAAAATAGCTGTTGTGCTGACTGTGCTGTAAAGCACCTGCTGAGGCAGAACAAAAAATAAGCCCCTTGATAGTTAAAGGAATGCTACTGTATATCTCTTTACGGCCTTCATGAAAAAAGGAGTGTCATCTGCAAACTATTACACTTTAAAGGCCAAGCTGCTGTCAATTACCTGCTGTTTTACATTTGAGAATTACCTAAATGTAGCTTTAAAATAGTCAAATCTTCCAATTTGACTGCATCCTCTGGTGGAAAGTAAAGGTTCATGTTGAAAATTGGATTAATCAGAGTTAAGTGTCTCCCCTTCCCCCTTCCACTGCTCAGGATAGCTTGTTTTTCTATTGGGACTTTAACAGTATAACTGTAGGACCTACACAAAAAACAACTGTCTCCTCTACCAGCAATACTTACAGCCAAGCTGCTATTGATTAATTACAGTTTTAGAGGAAGCATTTACATTTTATGATGCTTTTAAAATAGCAAACATGGAAACTTTACAGTGGGTATTCCTGCCTTCCAGCTCCCACTGCACTTTTTTGTAACCTTTTTGCACAGTGTTTTGGAGTATTGGTGTAAAGTATTGGATTTGATATTTCAAAGACCATTAAATCGCAATTGAAAACAGGGATGCGGCTCATCTGAAGGACCCCAACAAACACAGTGTCATCTGCAAAGAGTTAAAATTAAGATGCAGTTTTACATTTAGAAATCATGATTTCTTCATTTCAGAAAATTGAAGGTGGTCCACTTGTCTGTTTAAACCTGTTTCTTTTGTACCTTTGTTTTTCCACCAAAAAAAAACGTGTTAGTAAAACAGATCTATGTCTCTGTGGCGTTTATGGACTTCCTGAAGCACCTCCACAAAAAAAAGAGAGTCATCTGCAAACATTTGGAAAAGTTCTTAATCTTTCTCCTGTCTCTTTTTATGTTGAACATATTAACTCACTTATTTGTATAACGACAAATAGGTTATACGTATTTTGATTTTTATTCAACAGGTTGTGGACCATCTTTTATTCCGAGAAATGTCAGGTCTTTGTCCTGTTAAACCTTCTCTTTCCCTGACAGCTTTCGGCAAATCACAGGATGGATCATCGCTGCTGACATCAGCTCTGGCCAATGAGAGAGCTAAAGCTAACAACTGGGGTAATAATGACCTCATGAAATGCTTCATGTGTCTTGCAATCAAAGGCAGTCTTGCTCTTTCTGTCTGTGTCTGCTGTTGATGTGCAACCATTTTGTTCCCCCAAGCTTCCAGTTGGCTTCGAGATAGATTTACAATGATGTTTTTGTTCACAGGAATGGCTGCTTACTCCAGGAATTGCCCTATTTGAACACATTTCATTCAACATGGCCTCCAATGTCTGCATGTACTACACAATCTTACAGTCATGGTTGCATCATCAAAACTCATCTGCAACTTAAATGACTGTGGTTTCCCAAGATTGTGAGCGCTTAAAGACTTATCATGATCCCATCAAACTCATTTGTTCATGGAATTACATTGAATCCATTAGAGTAAAAATCTCCATCACTAACATCACCGCTCAGGGCTGCTGCAAGCTCGCTTGACTGGCAACTTAGATAAAGACTAGATCAGACTGTAATAGTCACTGCCACTGTTTTTGATCTTCTAGGTCAAGGCAGCAAAAGAATTCCCTCTCCTTCACTGCCTTTGCAGCCCTACAACCCGGCAGCTACCACATTTACCAGATCCATGAGGCCTACATCAAGAAATCCCCTCTTTCCCTTCTCTAATGGCCTAAGACAGTCCCACTCCTCCACTAGACCCAGTAACTCATCCCCAACTTCTCGGATACTCGGGGGTAATCCTCCTTGTACCTTTTTCTTGTCTTTCTTTTGATTGAATATAGTTTGCATTTGACCTTGGACTGAGAAATGTAGTTATAGCTTGGGTTTTGGTCATTAAACACAATGTTTTGTTTTCTTTGACATCCTGTGTTAAACCTGAGGACATTCTTTATTCCTTCAAGGGTGAGAATTAAGTTGAATTAATCAAAAATATTCCTCCTGACACCTACAAGGCTTTGTAGAGAGCAGCCCTGAAAAAATGGTCAAAATCAACAGTAAATGCAGAGAACTCTAAGCTTTAGATTAAACAATGACTGGTCTGTTCTTCAGTATGCCTGGTACTTCCACACACTCCAGTAAAGCTGCTCACTTTGGGGGTTTGAATAGGCTTGTTTTTGACATTACTGCATTCTGGTTCTATATTTGATGATTTGCTGCAATGTCCTTGAAAGAAAATCCCAGGTGGAATTTGTTTCTACTCTGTGATCACATATATGTTCAACAGTTTGACTGTAACTGTGACCTGCTAAATGAACCTCACAACCGAACAATCAAACCAGTCCTAGATCTAATAAGTCATGCCTCTTTGGGCATCAAACTGACAACTAACTTTCAACCATCATTTCTACAAATGTCAATGACAAGATACATACAGGTTTGTCGAACATTTCTTATTTACTACAAAACACAACATTGAACTTTGTTGAATTTCAGAATTTCAGCAGCGAGCTGGGAAGACAGTTTTGGGGGGAACTTGTTGAACATTATTTCTTTAGAATACAAATATGTCCCCACAGGACTTGAGTGGTTGTTCTGGTGCCGGGTTCAGTTCTCAGAGACAGTTTCTTTCCCTTCATAACACTTGGTTTTCTCCCAACAGTAAACGGACAGCCACATCGGGGCATTTCCCCACCTAAACCAGCCTTATGGTCCAGGCATCGACTGGGTAAAAAAGCCCTCGTTTGTCTTTTTGTGTTTCATCATTAACCCTTCAGTCACTTTTGCAGCATCTTTACTGCAGCTCATGTTGGTGTTTTTGTCTCCATCCACTTTGTTTATTAATACTTTTATGTCCATCTATCCATCCATCCATCCATTGGTCTGTCCGTCCATGTTGCCTTTTGTCTAACATGTTTGCTGTCTCAACTCAAGCTTCTGCAGGTTTTTAGCTTCTGGCAAGGACTTCTTCAAATAATCAACTGGTTGTTGGAGTTGAAGCTTGATTATTTGAGTTGGTTACATAAGTCCAGTAACAGCAGCACATCATGTCACTGTGTTCCATGTGGTGGTGGGGGTAGGGGAGTGTTGATGTCTGGTTGTGGTTGGGGTTTTGAGTTATTCCCTCAGAGGCCTTCACTGAGACCTGTTGTGGCTCTTCGGATGACCATGTAAAGGTTGTTGCTTATTACACAAAAATATAGAAGGAAAACTATGTTCAAAATGTTTTTAGTAGTTTGACAAACATAGAAAGTTAACCCAAGTTCCACTTACTAGTATATTATATATTAACATAATGCTATAATTATTACACATGGGAAGACATAAATGAGGCCCTGCATGCACAGCTGGTATTAATAACCAGTATTGTTATCGCTATACTCATGTGTTGTTAGTTTATTTAACAGGGTCCATACAGATAAACATGAACAAGCAACATATTTAAAGTTTATAGGGGTTTTAGTTAAACCTGTTGCTTGTGGGGCTTTAAATTTAAATTTAAACAGCTAAATAAATAAGTGGTCAAAAGAAGTGATGTGGGATACTCTCGAGGGATCCCTACAACGTCCAAGGCCAGCGTCATGTGACTACTTTTGGTTAGCCGTGCTAATGGTACTTATACTGTACGGGGAAGGTAATCAGAGCCAGTGCAAAGGCTTGTTAGCACATTGGTCGGGTGACCCTGGACTTGCATGTCGTAGCGACCCCTGGAGAGTCTCCTGAGCTGCAGTATAGATTCTACTAGCCCCAGTTTGTGCTTCTTATATTAGCATTAGCTTCATTCAAGTCAACATGGGACCCATTTTCTTCTCAGAAAGATAATTACATGGTGATGTATGGAAAAATCCAGAAGATGTTCTGAAGGTTTTTTCTGAAGACTCTTCAAACCGTCCAGATGAAAAGATAATCTGTTTGCTGGCTACACCATAAAAAAAAGAGTTTTAACTTGCTTCCCAAGTGGTGACTCTGTTCCCAATCCAGAGTCACAACATGGGAAATGGGTTAGCTATTGGGTGGATTTTGTTCCTCCAAACTTTACAGATACAACTACAACATGAGCTAGACCACATTCAGATGTGGTCCGGATGCTCAGTTTTCTGATCAAGCTAAGAGATCCAAATCACATGTTAATACCAGGTGGAAAAGCTCAAAAGAACAAAGTGTTCATGGTGATGATTCACATTGTGCATGTAGAGGCCTGTGCAGTGGGCATAAGCTGTTATCGTGTCTTCCATTGGTCTGATCTCCCTTGTTTGATAAAATCAAGATCGATGTTGATCCAGAACATTTTGACAGAAACGTACGGGAATTTGTGATAAAAATGCAAAACAGTGGAATGCTCTAAGAAGTACTTTTGGCATCAGTGATTCAGAGTTTGGATAAACCCAAAGGTTTGATAAAGAGACCCCAGTTTTGATTGCAGTATCTCTCCTGATGCAGTGAACAACTCATTGCTGGAGTCTGACTTCCCTGATGGGTTTGGCCGCTCGGCTCCCAAAAGCGAAGAACGGTTTTATGGTTGGTAAAGGCATGAATTTCGCCTGTCTGCACCCAGAACTTGCCCATGCTGTGTGCTGACTGGCGCTTCAGTTGCTCTAGACTGCCAACGCTGCATGGTTTGGTCATATAATGTGTCCAGAGGCAAATCTTTAAAAGGACCACTAAAAAAAAAAAAAATGGTCGTCAGCTTGCAAGCTTTGGCCAGAAGTTAAGGCGGAGCCGTTGGAAAATACTTTTCTTTTTTGGAAAGTATGTGCTCCTCTGATCGTTAACTTTCTTTTAAAAACCTGACTTTGCAGAGCTTTGCGCTTTTTCTCGCCACACAATTGAAAGAAAAAAACTGCTTCTAATTAGGCTGTGATGAACTTGGCGTCTGGATCTTTTCAGCTACTTTAGTCCTTTTTAAATGTTTCTATAGGGTCCCGAGCTACAGCTTTGCTTCTTGCTTGATTGTGATAATATTCAGACATGTTGCTGTGTTTAGAAAAACCCTCACGCAACCGTCGGGCAGCATGGCGTGAATCGAGCCATTTTCATCAGAATGTGGAAACCGCCGTTTGCTTTTTATTGCAGGATTGTTTGTGTGTAAAAAGAGGAAATCATATCAATATTTATTTCATTTAGTCTTGTACTGTAATCAGCCTAATTACAGCACAGTTTCCACGATGGCTTTCCACTATAACGCACAGATTGTACATATAATTGTTCCATGTTTTGTTGACAGGGAACTGTTAATGTACTGTTCAAGAATAATAGAAGCTTTAACCAAGAAATTAAAAGATCTCTTTGAAGCCCAAAGAATTTCAAGAAGAATAGCGAATATCCACCAGTACAGCACTGCAGGCAGTCTGGCGTCTTTTCTGCCTTCATACATATTTACATGTACTTGATTGAAAGGAATGCGTCTGAATTGTTTCATGTTATGAGCTAAAATGTTTCAGGACTCCATCATCTTTCATGTTTCTGGCTCCGCATTTATTCATTTTATTTTTGGAACCGGGTCAGTTTCTTGATTGTAAAGAATTTTGGCTTCTCCTTAAATGAGAGAAGTGGGGTGTAATTGGCTGCAGGTTCTGGACCTCAGTCTATGGTGTATTTAGAAAAACACACATGAATTACACAGGATTGGTCATGTTTCGGGTTAATTTGGCATTTGGAAATGGGTATCGAGTTGTACTTTAGGAGTAAACAGCAGATTTTCCTGGAGATTAGAGAGCACCTAGGTAGAAAATAGAACCAAAGTTGCTGTTAGAGGTTCACTCTTGGCCTTATTTAGACAGAAATGCCTGACTTACAGCAGAGGCATTTCTGTCGTGTATTGCACCACTTTGTCAATGGTGGAGAAAGGAGCGTTCCACTGTTTTCCTTTAAATTGACCCTTTCATAAGTAAATGCATCTTGGAGTCATCTTGTAGAGAAATACTGAGATGGGTTCAACTATTATTGGAAGGTTACAGATTGTGAAGAAAAGCTGGTTGCTGATTATAAACATCTGATTTATGTTGATGTACGTTGTTTCTTCCAGTATCCCCTTCTCGCCCGTCCACGGCCATCAAAAAAAAAATAAACCTGGTGCGGAAACCCGGAGAAACAGGTAAGAAGTAAAGAAGAGTCCAGATATGATAAACAATACTTTTCTCTTGGTTGGATATTGACTATCTCCATTCTATGTTTTCTTTATAACTAAATATCGGATTTCCCAATTATCTTTTGTTTACATTTCTTCCATTAGACAAGGTGAAGGACTTTAAGCAGACGGACAAGTTGCAGATTCTCCAACCCAAAGTCCCACCAGCAACCACCAAGCCATCCAAACAAGAACGCAAACAAACCACGACTGCTGCACCGACAGCTGGTATGAAGATTTTCACTTCCTTTTCTGTAGAAGCTGACTTTTAATGAGACAGTCTGCAATGGCTTGCAGCTGGCTGATTTTTCGTCAGCGTACCGGCTAACATGGTGAACTTTGTCCAGCCTCCTTTGCACACTCTGGACAGTTTTCCTCACCACCCTTTAATTTCAACAAGCCACATTTTGGAGAATGTAGACATGAACAATAAGCAGCCCTGCCGCCATTTTGACAAAAAAAATAGATATTGCAGGAAAATGTTCTTACCAAAAGTGAACCCTAATCTGGTCGGTCTTGGTGGAGATATCTTGTTTTTGACCAACTTTTTTATGGAAACAAACCCTTCTTTTAGAGGTGGGAACTCACTAATGCTTTTAAGGCTTTTTCACCTCTGGAAAAAACAGTGTAAAACAAGAAATATCTCAAACCTGTTTAGTTATCCCAAGAGACACGGTTCCCTAAAGCATTGTGTCTTAAACCAGCGGTACCTCTTAGCAAAAAGAAGATTTATTTTCTGAAATGGTGTCTGTTTGAATGTTTTTATTTAGCCAGTCGACAGGAAACCTGGGAGGACTCTGAGCTGTTCAAACCTCAGCCAGCCTCTGACCTTGACGCCACGGGAAAGAAGCGATACGTTGGTAAGTGAACACACATGCACTGTGTTTTGGCTGTATGGATCTGAAAACTTGAAAATTGCACTAGGAGAAAACCTTTAAGGAAACTGAACCCCAATCACTAATCAATCACCCCCCCCCCCCACTCCTCCAAAAGCGCCTCACGTCATCTACCAAACTGGGAAGAAACCGGACGAGCCTTGCTCCATCACCTCCTCCCTCAGCTTCTTCCCCGAAGATGAACCCAGTGAGGCAAACGTGACGGCTCCGCCCAAGTCTCCACCGTCTAACATCACCGTGGTGACGGTGGAGGGATGCCCGTCCTTCATCATCCTGGACTGGGAGAAAACTGACAACGACACCACCGGTATGAAGACACAGTAGAATGTGAAAAGATTTGGATGCGTGCGAGAGCTTCTTCAGTTTGTAGTACAAAGTGTCTTCCTACCATTTCGTCTGGATTAAAAGTCGCATCCCATGATTCTGTGGGTCCAGACTTGACTTTGTTGTCCTCTCTTCAGAGTATGAAGTCATTTCCACCGCTAAAGGACCCAATGGCGACCAGGTTTCCATCCTGACCACCAACCAGACTCACACCACTGTGGAGAACCTCAAACCTGAGAGCAGGTATGCTTCACACAGAGTGTTTTAGTTGGGGAATTTACACCAAGTACAATATCTTTATAAAATATTAATGTGGTCCTGTCCGATGGAAGGGTCGTATGTTTTCTAAGTTCATATTGTGGTCACACTGTGCGTATTCCTAAATAAAAATAAAATGTAGTTTTATCCCAGCAGAGGCCCTGGCTGGCTTTTGGTACAAAGAACTTGGAGGTGTCGTATGGGTGGGGTGGGAATGTGGTCACAGGGGGCCCCACAACACATTTTTGCCCAGGGGCATCTAAAGAGGTTAGTCCGGCCATGATACAGAATGGATTCAAAGAGCTGTGTTAACTTATTGTCCGGTTCCACATACTGCTTCTTTTATTTAGTGCTACATACGAAAGGATGATTAAAATGCATGTTACATCAAAGCAAGGAGATTTAAGAGTCCAGCTGATCACCTCCACACACAACGTCTAACTGTGAGCGCCATTGTTCAGCTGTCCAAACATACCGAGGCAGCAGAGCCATAGAGAGTAAAACATGCAGAGTCTGTCCGTCACGCTCACTGAGGTTTAAATGAGGCTGGATATGGGAAAACTATTTGGTGTGAAGGAAGGTGGTTGGAAATGAAGTCTGGCACGTGTGGACAACATCACTGTCCAAAAGCTCATAGCTGCAAGCTGAGGTGTGTTTTCTCTGTTGAGGTGAAACTGTTCCTAAACCTGTCAGAACTCACTGTTGGCACAATGCAAACTGCAAAGGAGCATCAAAAAAAGCATGATTTTAAAAGACAGATCAGGGAACGTCTGGGAAGGCAGAGGCAGTGGTGGAGGAAGTATTCAAATCCTTTACTAAAAACACTAGGAGTACAACTATTCCATTACAAGTCCTGCATTGTAAAAGTAGGGTCAGTCAGTCTGTTTACAGCTGGTTTCCATCAGCAGTTTACTCAGAAGGAGGCTGTGGAGTCGACCCAAGAGACCATGTAGAAAATATTTGAAAAATGATTTGTTGGTCGTGGAGCTTAACAAATTTTACCAACTTGGAAACAGGTCCAAAATGGAACCAGCTATCAGAACCATCCCCAGGCCAAATTCCTCTAACGGGGCAGCTGTGAAGAGGCAGAGGGGTTTCTCTGTATTGTTTCTGCTCTGTTTAAGCAATATAAGTGCTAATCTTTTTCTCTCTGTGTTTCCTGATAGATACGAGTTTAAGGTGAAGCCAAAGAACGAGCTGGGCGCAGGTCCTCCCAGTGAACCAGTGTCCTTCAAAACAGAGTCGGGTACAGTACCACTAAAGTCTGCTGCTTCACGCTTTCAACATAAGCTCTCGAATGTCTTCTGCTGCCAGTCATCAACACACAAACCGAAGCAGCTGCAGTCTGTGATTTGAAGATTTGCAGGTTGTAGCTCATAAACTACAAACTGCAAACTTTCCGTTCATCACATCATTTTTAGATCGGTTTCTTCTTGATGCTTTGGTTTTAGTTCATTTCTGTGAAAATGATGTAATCCAGTTACTGTATATAGGCCACATGTTAAACTTAATGAAAAATCAAACGTGGGATCAGCTCCGGTTAAGATGTTAAAACTCTCTTTTCCTGTGCTTCCTGCAGCCGACCCGCGGGTGAGCGAGATCGTTTCAGGTGAGATGAAATAACACCACAGTGTCGTCCACATAATGATGCGCACTGCTGCAGCCTAGTCAAAGCTTCCTGTCTCTGCAGGAAAAGACGCCATCTGGACTCAGTTCCCCTTTAAGACGGACTCATACTCTGACTGCCACGGCAAACAGTACGTGAAGAGGACCTGGTACCGCAAGTTTGTCGGCGTCCAGTTGTGCAACTCGCTCAGGTACAAGATCTACCTGAGCGACTCGCTCAACGGTGAGTACACTTTCAAGTATTCGCCTCATGTAGGAGTTTATTTTAGCTTGGTACTCATCCGTCTCGGTTCCTTTCGCTGCAGGTAAATTCCACAACATCGGAGATCAGACCGGCTTCGGGGAGGATCACTGTCAGTTTGTCGATTCGTTCCTGGATGGAAGGACAGGCAGGCAGCTCCGAGCCGACCAGCTGCCGTCCAGACCTGGTAAACATTTCACACATTCCTGGCAAATACGATTTCCTCAGCTGCAGTTCTGGTGCTGGGTGGGGAATGTGGAATACTACATGCAGACTTTTAGTGCCTAAACGCACTCAGAACCAGGGCGAGATCCGATCTCAATACTGTTTGAGTTCTGATCATGTCAGCAAATGTTTTTGCAAACCATAAATCAAATACCACAAATAATGATTAATTTTCTGTCGATTGACTAAAGGATTCACTGAGAAATAACATTATGTTCTCCAAAGTAAGATATCAAAAATTTTTCTAAATCAATGCATTTAATGTGTACGCAGAAAAAACTGGATGTCAAATTGGCCAAACTTCAGAATAGTGCAAATCTGTTTTTTATTTTAGTTGTAACTTCAGTTTAATCACATTTTAGTAATTTGATGACCCAAATAAATATTTTTGGTCCAGTTTTTTCTGGCCTGCCAGCAATAATATCTGGCCCGTGGTCAGATTACATTGATAGCAGCTGGTGCTGAAACAGAGCTCAGTCATGACAGCAACAGTTACTCACATAATCACTTCCTCTTAAGTGATTGTGCCAACAAAATAAAAGCACGAGAACATTTTTGCAGCAGTACTTTATGTCGTTTAATTGAGAGCTTTTACCTTGAAAAGTTCTGATAAGAAAATGAGCATGTTAGCTTACCTTTTTCTAAAATTGACGTGCTAGCGTGTCTGCTGTTGAGGTTCATCCCTTCTTTTATGATTTTAAAGTCATTTTAGATCAATTCTAATTTAAGTGTTTTTCACTGTTGAAAAGGTTCTTAATTATAATGGTTTTTGTCGCATTAACACTTCCTACTAGTCAGATGGTAAACCTCTAAATGTTACAGCGCCCCCTATGCAGCCTTTGAACCTCTATCTGAAGAGTGAAAACAAGTCTTTCTTACACTGATCGTGTTTTTTCTGGTCCAGGTTTCTACAGGGCCTTACGTCAGGAGCCCGTCCACTTTGGCCAGATAGGAGGACACTCCCACGTCAACTACGTCTCATGGTATGAGTGTGGAACGCCCATCCCCGGAAAATGGTGAACAGACATTTTAAGAGAAGCACATGGCAGGAGTCGTCGTCCAGGCTGGGATGGTGACAACAGCAGGGGCCTTTACGGACCCCTGAAGTGCATCACCTTACCCAGTGCTGTAAAAACATGTACAGGACATACTCGTCAGGGAATTAGTAAGGAGAGAGCATTTAAAAAAAAAAAAAATGTAATAGCAAACATGCCTCATCTTTACTATTTATCAAGCAATAAGGCTCAAGTGGTAGAAGAACAGGAAGATATGTGGAGGTTTGGTTACTCTCTGCAGTGTGGGCGGGTAGCAAAGCCCCGCCATATATTTTATTTTGTGTTATAATAATGGGAAGCTGGCTCCCTGGAATACTATTTTCATAACTTGTGAGATGTTATTTATCAAAATATCTTTGATTACATTTCTTCACAGGATTTTTTCAGTATGTGAAGCTTCCGCTGTTCCTTTGGTGTCGATGCTCAGAACATTTTCTCTGTTTCCAGTTGAGCTCATTTCTGTTCATTTGAAAATACAAAAGTAGAGCAACGACGTGCTCCTGCTTGACATTCATAACTGGCAGCTCACCAGTAAAACCAGTCATCTCCTGGTGGCTGTGAAGCGCCTTAAACAAGCCGACCAGTATCTAGAAAGGCGGCTTGATGTGGAGAATATGTGGGCCTCATGCATGTTCATGCTCTGAGAACATTAGCCAACAACGTTAGATCCTGAAAACAAACTTGAAGAATACAATACTAACAAACCTAATCCAACATTTTGTTCTGGTCCACTGGTCTGTTTGGGCGTAATGATAAAAATACAGTAAAGCCCTGATCTTCAGTGCTTTATACTGGTCATTAGTTGGGACAAACTGGGAACATTATGGGCCTAAAAACCGTCGCTTCCACATCAAACACCAGATGTGCTGATCGAAGGCGTCTAAAGCGGCGAGCTGCCGCGGCCAGAGGCTTCTTCACCTGCAATTTGCACAGCAGAAATGTATTTATGTATATGGAGAGAATGTATTTTTTCAATACATTTTTGCAGATGCATTACCCTCACCATAGCCTTTTTCTGTTTATGCTGTACGATGTGCTCTTCTTCTTCTTGCCTAATGCTAAATCAGGGCGGGAAGCTAACGATGCAGCTCGATAGCTAGCCTCTTTCTTTCTTTTACCAACCAAATCTGAAGAGATTTATGATTTACGGAGTGTATTTCAGGCACGACTAAAGCACGGCTAGCTTGGTTATCAAGGACGGCCCTGATCCAGAACCATCCAACTACATATCACAGCGCTGGAAAGTAACTTACACCTCTCTCTGTTTAAAGAAGATTGCCTGATGATGAGTTCGAACTAATCACGGTGCAATTTTCTTTCTTAACTTTAAAGAATTAAGAAATACATCATAAAAATAATGTGACCAGATTTCTAAAATGAAAACCAGGGACATTTTTGGTTTGGTGGCCAGTATTTCATTAAAAATATAATTCAAACCTTATTATATATGAAATCAAAACAGGTTTTAATTTCGGTTTTATAATCTGTCAAATATAACTCTACTGCATGAAATCAAGTCATTTTGAGGCAGAATCTACCTTTCAGTCAATAAGTAGAGGCTGCAGTCACTTTCAGGCAAGTGAAATACTGCATGTTATGGGTTGTTTTGGCCATTTAAAGGTATTTCAACAGGTAAAAAGGGTAGAGTCATAAGAATGATTGCAAAAGAGATCATGTTTTTATTTTATATATAACTCAGTAAGTCATGTTGGCTACAGTCTGTTTTCCAAATATAAACAAGGATATTAGACACACGCCTGCCAAACAGGCTCCTATTGACTATAATCATATAAATGATCTGGTCACACTATAAACACTTATTTAGCCACAATTGTGATTATTCCATTAAAAGTAAATGCTAAAGCATCACAAAGTCAAACCTTTGCTGTTACCACGGACATAAAGTGATGCTTATTTGTCTGTTTGATCCAGATAAAAGCAGCTGCAGACGTAAAGAGAGAGATACAGCTCAGTCTTTCTGGCAACCCTACATAAATTTTGCTTAAACAACAAAACGATTCTTCCTGGAACCAAGTTTATGTTTAGTGAGACTGAAAAGATGGGAAGTTGTTGAAATCAGCTAACTGGCCTCGTAGGCAGTCATTAAATGAATCACATTTACATTTACCAATTCAAAACCTTTCACAGAGTGGCATCTTCTTAGCACCATTTAGGATTTAAGATGACGTTTTCTGGACGGCAGAGTGACTGAAATGTCTGTGAAACGTAGTACAGCAGTCCTGGATTTGGGCTGCAGGCTGATTGTCTTTGCTTGTGGCTTCCGTGAACTTCTCGTCCTGTCACCAATCCTCACCACACCTAACCCTTTATTGAGGTGGGTTATCAAAGCGATGCAGGGCATTTTCTCATTCCGCTATATACGATGTAGTGCCTGGTACCAAACCGAAAATAGCGTACTGTGCCTTTACGTTTCAGCTGGAGCCCTGACTGTACTCATAGACCCCATTATTATAGAACAGGGACAGTATAAACATGACAGTGCTTTGTAAAGAATGAGAATGTATGTTAACATGTGCTGTGCTGTTGATGTTTTTTCTACATATGTGTGTTTCTATATTGATTTTCAACAATAAAGAAGTTTTGACTTATTTTTTAAAAAAGAAATGTCTTTTTTATTTATCTTCAGCAACCATTCACGTTGATGTAGGAAGAATGTCTAGTTAACGCCCTACTCAGACTGAAACCATTCCAAACCGAAGTTAAAGTGCTGCAACGTATTTTCCAGTGCACGTCTGATTGGTCTCATTGAGTATGTTGGGAAACCACCAAAAATAATTAAAACATAAAAACATTAAAAACAGCTGAGCTGTTGAGCAGCGTACCCATGGATGTACAGACAGCTATCACTGGATTACTGTAAAACTTCAATTAAGAGCCTAAATTAGACACATGTCCCTTTCACTGGCCTGACAAATAAACGCAGGTCTCAATTAGAAGCCTGGTCTGTTTTTTCTAGAAGCTCTCTGAATGCATACCAACATAAATGTTTACACATACAGACATGCGACACATCGTTAGATCGGTTAAATTCTCCGTACCTCAATCATTCAGTTCATTTTACAGAAACAATGAGCACCAACATGTTATTGCTTCAGATTTACCGGCATGGAGACGGCGGTGAAGTGGTGACTTTTGAAGTGGTCATAAATTCAAAATATGTGTCCGTTCCTTGATTATTTTATATACTTTAGTCCGAAAGGGTCAAAATATTTTTCAGATAAAGTAATTCAAGCTGAACTCCGTTAGTCAGTCTCTCTCTCTCTGTCTCTCAGAGCTAAGATCAAATGAATGATTCATAATTGATTTGTTATCCCATAGCCTTATTTTTATACAAGTAATATTCACACTGGTTGAAGTAAACAGTTTGATAGAAACATATTTCCAGTCTTTGCTGAGCGAGAGTTTTGTGTGAAAGGAATTAAAGGCCCGTCCCAGATATAACGCAAACTATTAATCGAAGGTTTACGGTACTTAGATACTGAAGGAAACCAACACATTCTCACTCTCAAGTCGTCACATATGGGCGCATGGTCAAGACCCGTTCAACGCACTGGGGGAATCCCTGTAGCGTTGTTTTTCAACTCTAAAGCTAGATTAATATGTAACAGTAAGGTCACAGTAAGGAGGTGGTTGGGGTGGACAAGCCACAACGTTTCATTTCACAACGTTAACTAGCAGTTTTAATGTGAAAGTCTAACCGGACGTTGCGTAGTTATTGTTGCTAACTTGACAGCGGAGCACTAAAACGTCCAAGAACATGACCCAGGGCGTTAAAAAGCAACTCTAAGGGGAGTCGGGAGTGAGAATGTGTTGTAAAAAGTGGATTTCTGGACGTTTCTGCTGGATTGACATCAGAGGTAATGATATCCTGAGCCCTGACTGATTTATGGCTCATTCTTATTAATATTATCACTATAACCTCAGGTTTCTCCATCTCTGCTGATTTTAAACATTTCTAAATTCTTCTTCCAGGCCGCTGTAACTGGCTGATACGTCCTTATTCTCTTTGTAAAAGACAAGCAAAATATTTATTTAGTGTTAAACACACCGCAAAGAAACATCAAAATATACCAACATAACTTCTTCTGCATTATTAAACATATGGCTCAGAGCCAACCAGAAGAAATCTCCTGCATAAACACTTAAAAAGTTAATAATCTTTATATGGAGGCTCTGTGTCTCGGTGTGGGAACATGAGGGCAGTGTTTTATCACCAGGTGTATTTAGTGTAGAGCCCCGCCCCCTTCCCACCTGACCGGGCATCACATCACTTCCTGTGAGGAAGTGCAGCAGGTGTTGAGGAGCTGCATGAGGGAGAAACCAAAGAGCAATCTGGGTAAGATCAAACATGAGGTGACAGTAATTAAAATCCTTCTCTGCATAAACACTTTGTTTTCGAGTTAAATCAGCATGACTCTGCTTCCTGTTAAACATGTTAAATTAATCACACGGCTCACGTCCGGTGTTTTAGGCCTGAAAAACCAAAGCATTACAACATTAATCATGTGTATTTATTGGTTTGCGTTCCTTCAGCCTGTGGGTTCGATGTGAACCCTGCACGCTTCAGATTTAGTTTATCTTCTGGATCCTGTAATCTAACTCTTGGCCCGCTGAGGCGTGAATATGAGCGTGGCCTCCTTCAATGGCACCTTCATGTACTAATACACAGAATAGAAGTATTTAAAATATGGAAAACTGTGAATGTGGTTTGGTTGGAAGTCTTTAAAGTGACGGAGGAGAATATCTTGGTGGGATGATATTGTGTTAGCAGATCATCCATCCTCATATTACCCACAAACCCCCTCTCCGACCGCAGTCCCAACACCAGCACTGATGTGATGGATTACATCACTTTTCCAAGCCGCCGCCGGTACATTCCTCTCAAACCGCAGGGCAAAGATGGGCTTTATGTACCGTCGCCACGGCAACTGCTGGATTATTTCAGTTGAGAGGGAAAAAAAGTTTTTTGACTCTGCGAGGAGACACGTGAAGGTTATTCGGGATAAGAGCAGGAAATCTCGTCAGAATAAAAGCATGAGTAACACACTGTTATGTAACACGTGAACGTCCCACTGGGAACCACAAGGTTCCACTAGTGAGGACTGGGAACACTGGTGGAGATGCAGC